ACAGGGTTTCACCGTGTTAGCCAGGATGGTCTCGATCTCCTGACCTCGTGATCCACCTGCCTCGGCCTCCCAAAGTGCTGGGATTACAAGTGTGAGCCGACGCACCCGGCCTATTCTCTGTTTTAGGGGGAAAAAAAGGCCAGGCACAGTGGTCTACTCCTGTAATCCCAGCACTTTAGGAGGCCGAAGCAGGTGGATCACCTGAGGGCAGGAGTTCAAAACCAGCAAGGCCAAAATGACAAAATCCCGTCTCCACAAAAAATACAAAAATTAGCAGAGCATGGTGGCAGGCTAATCACTTGAATCCAGGAGGCAGAGGTTGCAGTGAACTGAGATCACACCACTGTACTCCAGCCTGGGCAACAGAATGAAACTCCATCTCAAAAAAAAAAAAAAAAAAAAAAAAAAATTAGCTGGGCGCGGTGGCTCACACCTGCAATCCCAGCACTTTGGGAGGCGGAGGCGGGCGGATCAGAAGGTCAGGAGATCGATACCATCCTGGCTAACATGGTGAAACCCTGTCTCTAAATTTTTGTATTTTTGTATTTTTGTAAAAATACAAAAAATTAGCCGGATGTGGTGGCAGGCGCCTGTAGCCCCAGCTACTCGGGATGCTGAGGCAGGAGAATGGCATGAACTCAGGAGGCAGAGTTTGCAGTGAGCCAAGATGGTGCCACTGCACTCCAGCCCAGGTGACAGAGCAAGACTCCCTCCAAAAAAAAAAAAATTAGCCGGGCGTGGAGATGCATGACTGTAGTCCCAGCTAGTTGGGAAGCTGAGGCACGAGAATCACTTAAGCCAGGGGGGCAGAGGTTGCAGTGAGCCAAGACGGCACCACAGCACTCCAGCCTGGGCAACAGAGGGAGATTCTGTCTCAAAAAAATAAAAATAAAAGAAGCCAGCAGTGGTGGCTCACACCTGTAATCCCAGCACTTTGGGAAGCCAAGGCAGGCGGATCACCTAAGGTCATGAGTTCAAGACCAATGTGGCCAACATGCTGAAACTTCATCTCCACTAAAAATACAAAAATGAGCCAGGGGTGATGGCTAATTTTGTAATCCCAGCACTTTGGGAGGCCGAGGCGGGCGGATCACCTGAGGTGAGGAGTTCCAAGACCAATATGGCCAACATGGTGAAATCTCTACTAAAAATACAAAAATTAGCCAGGTGTGTTGGTGGGCGCCTGTAACCCCAGCTACTCAGGACGCTGAGGCAGCAGAATCACTTGAACCCGGTGGGCAGAGGTTGCAGTGAGCGAAGATCGCACCACTGCACTCCAACCCGGGTGACAGAGCAAGACTCCATCTCTGAACAAATAAACAAAGAGTATCACCTAGTCTTAAATAAAACACCTACTCTACTCCTTAACGTGAGCCCTATTTCATACTTCAAACCCAAATAGTTAACTGGATTACAATTCAATTATGCTATGTCCAGCATAGTTATCAAAAAATTAAAACTTACCAAACATTGTTTACAAATGGTTAAAAAAAAAGGCCAGGTGCCATGGCTCACACCTGTAATCCCAACACTTTGGGACGCCAAGGCGGGCGGATCACAAGGTTAGGAGATCGAGACCATCCTGGCTAACACAGTGAAACCCCGTCTCTACTAAAATACAAAACATTAGCCGGGCGTGGCGGCGGGCGCCTGTAGTCCCAGCTACTCCGGAGGCTGGGACAGGAGAATGGCGTGAACCCGGAAGGCGGAGCTTGAAGTGAGCTGAGAATGCACCACTGCACTCCAACCTGGGCGACAGTAAGACTCCGTCTCAAATTAAAAAAAAAAAAGGGTAGCAAAAAATAAAAATTAAAAAGTACAAAAAAAATTTTTTTTTTTTTTGAGATGCAGTCTTACTCTGTCATCCAGGTTGGATGGAGTCCAATGGCACAAAATTGGCTCACAGCAACCTCCACCTCCCGGGTTCAAGCAATTCTAAAGTCTCAGCCTCCAGAGTAGCTGGCACTACAGGCGCGCGCCACCACATCACATTGATTTTTGTATTTTTAGAAGAGAAAGGGTTTCACCATGTTGATTAGGTTAGTCTCAACTCCCAACCTCGTGACCCGCCCGACTCGGCGCCCAAAGTCCTGGGATAACAGGTATGAGCGGCCACGCCCAGCCACAAAAAAAAAATTTTTAAGCAGCATCTTTGAGAGAAACTAAAAAAATGTCAAGTAAACTCAGTAGGAAACACCAGCATAAGCGGTTTAACATTAAAACTGTAAAAACTAATGTGATATATTTGATTGAGTTAGGAAAAAAAGGATCATATTCCTAAATACTTGATAGTTTGGGCAAAATTACATCAAAATCTACCACAAAGATTACATGGTGATATTCCCTACATGTCCTCACTCTCTTTGCCTTCCTTCAGGTTATATCTCCACTCTCCTTTTTGTAAAAAATAGCTGCTTCTAAAATCTATCAGAGATCTACTAATTTACCAGTCAACACCATGGGTACCATAACACTTGGCTTTTAAGGACACTCTATTTGCTCAAAATGACAACTAAGAAAGAACAGATATTTGCTGACATACAGGTTTCTCGCAAGGAAAAATAAACAAAATAAGACAGGTTTGCTTAAGGGCAGAGAACTTTACAATCTGTAAATGCCTGCAGACTGCTTCTTCCCAGCAGGCATTAACCCTTCATAATATACTTAACCACTCCCACCCCCACCCCCACAAAGTGTCTTATTAACAAAGGAAATCTTAACAGTAAGGCATCATTTAAAAAAAAAAAAAAAAAAGGACTGGGAAATCAACAATTAATTCAAAGCTAACATTTTAGACGTAAAGGCTTCACTTCAGACCACTCCAAACCTTCAAGAAAGCTTTACACTTTCTACATATATTTTACACTTAAGAGGGTAGATACAGGGACCAGTTCCCATCACGATACAAGTACATATTGAAATAAACCTATTATTCTCCATGTTCTCACACCATTTCTCCCCATACAATAAAAGTCACTCAGGCTAATACTAAGAGAGACACTCCTGGTGATCACTACATAGACTGCACTAGTAACCAGGAAAGGGAAGCAGAGATGTTATTGTTGTTCCAATATAGTTCTAGAGGCAACTCCATGTGACTACTGCTGGTCCAGCCCACATTTAAAGGGAGGACAGAGGAAACCAGAGCAGCAGGAAACAGGAGGGGTAATTACCACAACCCTTTCCCATGGCCTCATTCTCTCCCATGCCACCACTTTCGGGCATATTTCAATCACAACAAAAAACCTTCCTTCTCTGAAAGGTTTCATAATTATTGAGGGTGAGCGGCAACAGGGAAGCAAATGGGGGAAGTCGGCGCTGTGGGAAAATCTCTCGCCACATATGTCAACTAGCCATAAGTAGGAAAATCAGGAGTACACTGGCAGCAAGCAAAAGGGCAGTTTGGGAAACTAATCACTTCTGCCTAATGATAAGAGAAGCCTTCAAAGCAGTAGAAGGTCGGCCCTAGCGAAGGGGCTCCACAGGTGAGTGTACTGAAAGAAACTATCATCTCCAGGGAGTGGAATACATTCCCTTTCCTGAGGTAAAAGGGGAACACACCAATGTCGGATACGGGACAGTTCAGGTATCATGTTCATCTTCCTTCCACCTTTCCCAAACTGACACTAAAAAGGATACACAATTCACAGCGAAAAGTGAGGAATGCAATAACTAGCCGCATACCCCTTGGTGAAAAAAGTGCTGTCATAATGGAAGAGGAATATAAGAATGGGTTCACCCAAGAAATTAATTATATGCCCTTCAAATAAAAGATGATCTTTGGATACCTTATGGAGACGTGAAAAAACCCTCAACTAGCTGGGCACCGTGGGGCACACCTGTAATCCCAGCTACTCAGGGGGCTGAGGTGCAAGAATCGCTGAAGCCCAGGAGCGGGAGGCCAGCCTGGGCAATAGATGGAGACCATATCTCTAAAATGAATAGCAATTTTTTTAAATCTCTCAACTGTTAGGATACGCTGGTGCTGTAGAAAGATTATAAGCCTAAATACTGGCAAACCATATACCTTTCTTGAATGTGAGGTAAAAACAATATTCAACAGAAGTGGTAGTAAATGACTGGATTACATCAAACAGGAAATAACAGTAATAATGATGGGATCAACCCTTAAAGCGAGCAAGGGTTAGAGACCAGAGTGGTGACAGTTGAGAAGCGTGGGCAACTAATTAGACTAAAAACTCGGGGAAAATGTGGAAAAGCCGAGTGGGAAAGTGATTCAGAGGCAAAAAGAACTGAGTTGTAATGCACCAATGAAAGAATAACATTTTGAATATGTATTATTAACAGACTGAGCTTTGCGGTTTACAAAGCGCTCAAAAACCTACCCTAAAGAATGAACTGTGATATAACCAGACTACAGGAACTGGGGGTGAGGAGGAAAACTGAGTCCCAATTGAGACCAATGCCCTACAGAATTGAAAAGGAGAAGTAGAATCGAACTGTGCCTCCGGGTAAGCCAGGAAAGATTAGAGAGCGCAGAAGTTGGGGTTCTAAAAGGGCCAGTCCCAGGACTAGCTACGGGCGTGAAAGCGGAAAGGTGATCAGATGGGACCGACAGCGTGGCGGGGAAGCTCCAGTCTACTGGCAGGCACCGAGGTGGGAGAGAAAACCACACCCTCCAGGGCAGAAACCCGAAGGGGGGAGGGGAGGCGCCCCTGGGGTTGGGTGGGGCCCGGCCGACCCGGACGGGGGAAAGTAGGAAGAAGCACAAGGCAAAGTGAGGGGAAGAGGCAGTAGGGCACCCGGGCCTGGACACACAGGGACCATGGAGCTGGCGAGTGAAGCTCGGCCCGGTCCTCACGGATGAGCGCCAGGGCAGTCTGCAGGCGGTGGGGGTTCAGACGAGCTGAACCCAGAACTAGAAAGCGCACGCTGCAGCGCTCAGGCCCCTGGAACAGGGAAGGAGAGGGACAGGATGGCAATTACCGCTGCTGCTCTCGGAGGACTCAAGACCCGCTGCCGCCGCCGCCGCTCGTTACCTGCCAATGTGCCTCTTACAAAGCGGCGGCGGCGGCACAGGCTGCCCAACCCGTCACGTGACCTCGCGTCACGAGCGAAGGAGGAGCCACAACACGTCGCTCGTGCGCGGCTTCAGAGCCCGCCCAGACGGCGCGCAGCCTCTTCTAGCTGCCACCTCCACCCCAACCCCGCGAGGCCGACCGCGTGGAGGTGGTGGGGAAAACCACAGAAAAGAAAAAATAAGGGAGACTTGATAATATGTATTGTACTCGGAGTCATCAGGAGAGGATTACCCACCGCATCCAGGGTGCCTACAACTGCAGCTCATCGTCGCGCCGTGATGACCTCACAAGGCACCACAGGTTGCTCCCCTGTGGCCGCCTCTCTCATCACGTGATGTGGTCCAGCCACTCAGGGCAAGCCTGGCCTCCCAAACGTTGCACGAGGGGACCACGAGTCCCAACATGCTGCACAGCCAAGGCGACCCCTACCTCAGCCTTTCTCCCGCGGGCTCCCAGACGCACCCCCTAGAGACCTTAGTGCCGAGGGAAGGCCGGGAGGAAAGCGGACTAAGCTGGCTTGAAGGAGTAATACTACTGGACGCCGCCCGCCAGGTGGCGGAGCGTGGTGCCTGCTGGGAGGTGTAGTCCTGGCGGGGGGTGGGGTTCTGCTCCCACGTTCCTGGGCTCGCTCTGCGCCCTGCCCCCTGCGCGGGAAAACGCCAACGGCTCGCAGCTAGAGCCTCGGCAAGGCGGAAGGTCCGCCCACTTTTAGTCTTGTTCGGTGAGGTTGTACTTTTCCCCTCCCAAGCCCCTTCTGGGTGAAAAAACTAGCATCTATTGAACGCCTACTCCAAGTCCGCCGTTTATACAATCATTTCTGTTATATCATATAATCAACCCCTTGAGTCCAGGATTTCCCATATTTAAGGATAAAAAAAAGAAGCTTAGAGTTGCTTGTTGACCGAAGAAACCCAGGTTTTCTGCCTTAGAAAATTAAAGACCTCCTCTCAATAGGATCTGACCTGTTGTCAACTCCAAAAATTACATATAAATAAGATGATGGTTTATAATTGTAGCATAGTGTTTTAAAAGTATTTTCCATTTACTGGCCTGTTTGGATGTGAGGGCGATCTGGCTGCGATATCTGTCACCCCATTGACTGCCAGGGCTGATTCCGCTGATCTGGCTGGCTAGGCGGTTGGCCCTTCCTCCCGCACCGCTCCCGAGGCTGCATACTCGGTCGAAAAGGAGGAGCATCCCCCATAGAGGAGGACAGGTCAAGGATATAGGAGTAGCTGCACGCCCCTGTTAACAAGCTCTCAAGGTCCTCCAAACAAGCTCTCAAGGTCTACTTACTGGCCTGTTTTATCCCAAGCTAGTTACATATAAGGACTTTGCAGTCCTAGCATGCCTTACCTCAATTGGAGCTTTCCTCTGTAGTAACACCACCGGCTTGTGAAAATTAAATAAGATTATGTAAAATGCCTGCTTGGCACATAATAAACCCTCAATAAGTATCAGTAATCATTTTCACACTCTACCCGTTAGGCCCAACAGGTCTAAGTAAGGTAGAAAGAGGAAATTAGCTTATACTGAACTTTGTACAGGACACTATGCTAATTACTAATGTGCTAGTTATTAAGTAAAACAATTGAAATCTTAAACAGTCCTGTCTAGTTCAAAGAAAGCCTTTGTTATTCATCTGAATTAAAGAATACTGCCGGGCATGGTGGCTCATGCCTGTAATCTCAGCACTTTGGGAGCCCGAGGAGGGCAGATCACAAGATCAGGAGTTCGAGACCAGCCTGACCAACATGGTGAAACCCCGTCTCTATTAAAAATACAAAAAAAATTAGCCGGGCATGGTGGCACACACCTGTAATCCCACCTACTCAGGAGGCTGAGGCAGGAGAATCACTTGAACCCGGGAGAGGGAGGTTGTAGTGAGCCGAAATCGCACCGCTGCACTCCAGGCTGTTAGAGCAAGACTCTGTCTCAAACAAAAACAAAAACAAAGAATGCTTAGACTGTGCCTTTAACAAACAGAACTGGGCCAGGCGTGATGGCTCACGCATGTAATCCCAGCACTTTGGGAGGCGGAGGTGGGTGGATCACCTGAGGTCAGGAGTTTGTGACCAGCCTGGCCAACATGGTGAAACCCCGTCTTTACTAAAAAATACAAAAAATTAACCAGGCGTGGTGGTGGCCGCCTGTAATCCCAGCTACTTGGGAGACTGAGGCAGGATAATCACTTGAACCCAGGAGGTGGAGGTTGTCGTGATCCAAAATTGCGCCACTGCACTCCAGCCTGGGCAACAGAGTGAGACTCTATCTCAAAAAAAAATAAAATAAAATAAAACAGAACTTATCATCATCGCCACTGACATGTGGGTGAATCTTATCTCACCTCTTTTGACAGTGAGCTAGGATTGTGTCTTGTCTGTTCATCTTCCTCCTCTTTGTCCTGCTGCTTTATAGAAATGTGTGGGAGTGTCAAAGATAAAAACCACCCTTGAGAGTCAAAGACTTAATGGACAGATCAGGAGAAAAGGATTCTGAAAGGAATATACAAACTTGATAACAGTGGCTGGCTCTGAGGAGTGGGAAAGAGGTTTGTGATTGGGGTTGCTGGCCCAAAGGGACCGCAGTCTAACGTTTTCGATTTTTCCTTGGAGAAGGCACTGGTATATAACTTACGTAGTTATAAGATTAACTTGGCCCAGCGCAGTGGCCAAGCACTTTGGGAGGCTGAGGCAGGCAGATCACAAGGTCAAGAGATTGAGACCATCCTGGCCAACATGGTGAAACCCCGTCTCTACTAAAAATACAAAACTTGGTCGGTCGCAGTGGCTCAAGCCTGTAATCCCAGCACTTTGGGAGGCCGAGACGGGCGGATCACGAGGTCAGGAGATCGAGACCATCCTGGCTAACACGGTGAAACCCCGTCTCTACTAAAAAATACAAAAAACTAGCCAGGCGAGGTGGTGGGCGCCTGTAGTCCCAGCTACCCGGGAGGCTGAGGCAGGAGAATGGCCTAAACCCGGGAGGCGGAGCTTGCAGTGAGCTGAGATCAGGCCACTGCACCCCAGCCTGGGAGACAGAGCGAGACTTTGTCTCAAAAAGATAAAATAAAATAAAATAAAAAAATACAAAACTTAGCTGGGTACGGTGGTGCACCTGTGGTGCGCACCTGTAGTCCCAGCTACTCGGGAGGCTGAGGCAGGGGAATCACTTGAACCCGGGAGGCAGAGGTTGCAGTGAGCCAAGATCGAGCCACTGCACTCCAGCCTGGCAACAGAGCGAGATTCCTCTCAAAAAAAAAAAAAAAGGAAGAAGATTAACTTTATGAGAAGGAAGACCAGAGACCACATGTTAGCTCTGTGACCCTGTATAAGCTGTGTCACTTCTCCAGGCCTCAATTTCTTATTACATTCATTTTCAAAAACATCTGCCTTTTCTGCGTCAGGGACACTGTGCTGGTTATTTTTATTACATTATCATTTATTAAGGGAGAAGTCCTAGCAAGAACCTAGGATCAGAGAAAATAAGAACATCAAACCCTAAAACCTCACTGATTGCTGTTATTGGGACCTGGATGCAACGGACCTAGCCTTTCCCTCCCCCTCCCTCATCCACACAAAGGATTCATTCGCTTTATCCACCCAGCTTGACTCTTGAGACATTGACTCTGAAACTAATTTCACATCCTGTGACTGCAAAGGACCTCCCCATCTTTGTGTGTGTGTGTTGAGACAAAGTCTTGCTCTGTTGCCCAGGCTGGAGTGCAGTGGCGCGATCTCGGCTCACTGCAACCTCCGCCTCCCGGGTTCACGCCATTCTCCTGCCTCAGCCTCCCAAGTAGCTAGGACTACAGGCTCCCACCACCATGCCCGGCTAATTTTTTAAAATATTTTTTGGGGCCGGGCGCGGTGGCTCAAGCCTGTAATCCCAGCACTTTGGGAGGCCGAGACGGGCGGATCACGAGGTCAGGAGATCGAGACCATCCTTGCTAACACAGTGAAACCCCGTCTCTACTAAAAAATACAAAAAAGTAGCCAGGCGAGGTGGCGGGCGCCTGTAGTCCCAGCTACTTGGGAGGCTGAGGCAGGAGAATGACGTAAATCCGGGAGGCGGAGCTTGCAGTGAGCTGAGATCTGGCCACTGCACTCCCGCCTGGGCGACAGAGCGAGACTCCGCCTCAAAAAAAAAAAAAAAAAAAATATTTTTTGGTAGAGATGGGGTTTCACTATGTTAGCCAGGATGGTCTTGATCTTCTGACCTCGTGATCTGCCTGCCTCGGCCTCCCAAAGTGCTATGATTACAGGCGTGAGCCACCGGGCCCAGCCATCCCCATCTTTTTTACCAGTTTTTGTTTGCTTCAGTCTTCTTGCTGGGCTAAAGTGAGCACATAATGTCACGGAAGATACACTGGAGAAATTATCAGAAGCCTGGGTTCTGAAGTCTGTGCAAATGGGTGGCAATATGATAGATAGGTGTGTGAAATCATTCTTTTTTTTTTTAGACAAGGTCTCGCTGTGTTGCCCAGGCTAGAGTGCAGTACCTATTCACGGGTGTAATCATAGTGTACTATAGCCTTTAGCTCCCGAACTCAGGCAGTCTTCCCATCTCAGCCTCCAGACTAGCTGAGAATACGGGCAGTGTACCACTGCACCTGGCTCTGGAATCAGTAATTCTTAGATGAGGCCCATCCTCAAAAACAAACAGTAATAGTAATAGGTGGCTGAGATTTAGGAGGATACAATCAAGGCATATAATCTCCAAAGCAGAACAGGTGTGGTGGCTCACTATCACTCTAGGAGGCCGAGATGGGAGGCTCACTTGGGGCCAGGAGTTCAAGACCAGCCTGGGCAATATAGCAAGACTCTGTCTCTATTCATATATACACATATTTATTTTCTTAATAAAAAACTCCAAAGCAGAATTTTCACAAACTAGATAAAGCTAATCACAGTTGAAATCTTTTTTTTCTTTTTTTGATACACGGTCTCACTCTGTTGCCCAGGCTGGAATGCACCTTCACCTCCTGGGTTCAACCAATTCACGT